ACAATACGCAAAATCTACAACGACCATATTTTGCTGTCGCTTTACGCATTCGAAGTCACGTCTTTTTTAAGTTAAATTCGGCCTGCACAACGGCGCATACCAATATGATAAAAGATGTTTCAACCCAATTTGTTGCGGATTTACTGTTTGGATGAGCGAACAAAGTGATGCATACAGAACTATAAAGAAATTAGGAAATAAATCGACGGTTCGGAGTAAACCACTCGACAATTAGCTTTACAAGCTCCGTTGCAATCGTATGCTAGCTGAAATTCCATAATTAAGCCTTGCGCATAAAAATAGGATCTTTGTTTTACGCGCCTCTTATGCGATGATGATAGCCTTGGGGAAATGGGCAGCAATAAATGCATACTGCTGCATACAGGCTGCAAGAAACATTCCGTTATTTGAAAGAGACCGGTGATCACTCGCAAAACATCATTGGGTAGGATTGCAATGCTGTTTATCATGCAGACAAAATTCAATTATGTTCAGTCACGCTAGAATGCCGAATATTTGATAAGCTTTTTTCTGACCGCTGCAAAAAAACGCTTCTGGAAAAATCGCTGCTTAAATAGAATGCATTTTGATCATTAAATTTGACTGTCTGTATAAATTCAAATATATTATATAGAAAGTGTGCACGAAAAAATCCTCCCTTGTACTCAGTTGATAGCAAATTACGCCTTCTTTACATGTTATTCTTAAAGGACGGCTTTCCTTCGGTTTTAAGAAAATTATCATTTTGAGTTTTTTATGATTGTGCTGTGTTTATCCAAAATGATTCGTATCTTTTAGTTCACTAATGCTGCTCCTGATATATGCAGCATGATATATGTATATTTCGAAATTCTATGAGAGCTATGCAACCACTTCCTCAGACTGTAGGCAAGAGAGTAGTTAAACAGAATGAACACCGTATAAAGTTAGTAAAACTTGAATTTAGTTCTAGCAGTCGGTAGTATTCAAAAGCATTCGGTGATTTAGAAACTTTTTAAAAATGGAAGTTATCCATTCCTTTTAGAATAAAATTAAAATAAGGCGTAATTTTCTATCAAATAAATACATGAGATGATTTTTTCGTGCATGGCTTCAATAAAATATATTTGAATTGACAAAGGCAGTCAAAGTAAATGATAAAAATGCATACTATTTTAGTAGCCGTTTTCTGCAGAACCAACTTTTTCGCAGCGGTCGGAAAGACGCTTATCACAGAGTCAGCATCCCAGCATGACTGAAAATAATTGAAACTGGAATGCATGATAAACAATATTGCAGGCCTACTCAATGTTGTTTTGCGAATGATCACCGGTCTTTTTCAAATTGCGGATAGTTTATTGCAGCACTCACCATAATGTATGTAATTAAGTTCCAGAAAGTAATTAACAATCTGCGGGACAAGAAAACCCTCCAAAATAGTCAATGCAGACAAAAAATGGGGCATGAGCGAGAGCGAATAGATTTCAGTGTGTAACAATTTGACTGCCTTCATTCGCGTCCCATTAAATATCCTCCAAGAGAGGTTGTGAGGGCATATTAATTGAACTGCTTGCAAATTCCCTTTGTCCCTTCACAAACATAACCTCAATGTTTGCATACGAAGCAATGTGTAGCCGCGACTACAATGCCTCAAGGTTGCCAACGAGGTCTTGGAAGTAGTGTACGCTAGTAAATGTGCGTTTATAGGAGTGAATACGGCAACTTTGTTTGACCATACTTAGCATATGGAATACAGGCGTGTCGGCCATGATTTATAGACGAAACAAATGTGTCTTGACGATGTGCACTATCGTGTAAGAAATCTATCACAAGACTTGTAAATACCACTCTGTGTGATTTGCAGAACCAAATAGGGATTTATCTTTGACGATGAAATAATTCACCACCTCGAGCAAGGGCTGAATTTTAAAAATGCGTTTCAATTGCGCCTATAGTTTTATGGTTTCTTTATTTTCCCTGCGGTCTCATTACATCTACCTGAAGACGATGCTTACCCTCCCTATTTGTTTGAACTACAACAAGGAGGCAATCATCGAGGGCGTGTTTTGAACGCGTCTCGGAAACTTTCATGATCATTGTCGCAACTCTTAGTATACTGATCATGCCCACGATGGACTCCCCCCGTCTCGCCTTATATATCTTCATCAGAAGAACCGTCCTATCTCGCATGTACGTTCCTCTTATGCACGACAGTTTATTTTTCTTTAAATCCCTTAAATCAAATTCAAACTTTTATAGTTTCCGGTAAATGACCAATTAGTTCTTGACATGGTCTGCTTTTTTTGGGTTTGTTCCATCTACTAATTCGTATCAGCGCCAATAAGCCGAGGTAGAAAGTACATATGCGATTATGCTACTGCCAATAAGTGAGTAGACATGTATGCTCACACTTTTCGAATAACCGACGACTGTCCGTTTTTCGTGTGCAGTTATGGAACCGGCCTACTTTGGAGCGACTTTCGAATTTGAGCCACCCATCTTTTTGCCCTCCATTAACGTGGGAATTTATTATTGTATACCACCCTCTCTATTTCTCTGCTTTATTTGTCTGCATTTATGATCATTAGGTCATATCTACAGTACAATGGTACCTTTTTGAATGCATGAATGCAAGTTGTTTTACCCACAACATGCCTTAATGGCAATGTGTGTCAGATGCGTCCAATCTGCCACATTTGCAATTCACCAACGTCGACCATACGAAAAAGAAGACATCGTTCAGGTTGGCAGCAAGGAATAGGCGCAAGACCCTGAATAAATTGACACTTCCAAGGTTCATGTGGACAAATTGCAGATGCCTATTTTACAAGAGTGTCAAGCTATCGGCACTTATGTTGAAAAGAGAACACAGATAGTCGGCAGTTGCCTGCCTCCTAGAAGCTTGGCTTAATAGTGAAATTGAGACGCAACCCGTCACTGCATCGGGATTTTTCTGCTTTTGATAAGACAGAAAATCCTTATCCAGCGGTAGAGGTGGTGGAGTGGCTGTCTTTATAAACCAGAAATGACGCATAAAGTGTAAGTCCTTATTTTCTTTTTCGGGCGACTTAATAGACGCCGTTGCTGTTGTATGTAAGCCTCGATTTTAAATTAATTCTAAAGGCATTTCCCCCCCTACATGCCAAGGTGCTTTAGTGTGAATTTTAGATTTTCTCCCCGTAAAAATTGCAGTAATGTCTTGCAAGCAAGTTATTATTTTAAGTGTTGACTTCAACCGTGTAAATCTACGCCCCCTTACACTGTTAGGTTTTTACGACTTATTTGCCTCCAACACTCGTGCTGATGCCTCTTTTGATCACAGATTGACCAACTATCATCATACCTTCAAAAGTCTTTAGGCTTAGGTAAGTCATGAGCAGAACGAGCGGCAGGAAAACCCTCCAAAATGGCCAGTGCAGACTACAAACGGCATATGAGCGTGGGCGTATATACTTCACAATGTAAAGTGTGTAGTTCTTCTCTTGCGTCCCATTAACTACACTCCAAGTGATATCGTGAGGTAATGTTAACTTTACTGCTTGCAAATAATCTTGGACTATTCGCAGAAAAACCTCATTATTTGGATACAGAGCAATATATGGCCGTGAGTACAATGCGTCAAGCCTGCCAACAAGGTCATGAGTGACTGATCTGTGCATGTATCACTCCATTTTACGATTGGCTCTGATGAAGTGTTTTCGGCAGAAACCGAAACATCTTGTCCCAGCGATTGCATCTTCTTCTTCATGTGAGTACTGCATGTTATCAAAAGTGTATCTGTAGATGTCGCTAAGGACAATTTGCAGGAAGAATACGGCAGTTTTGTTCAGACACACACAGCAAATGGCTGACAGAAGAAACAAAATGTCGCCACAATGTGCAAAGTCGTGCAAGGAATGTTCAGGACGTTTAAAG